TTGTGTTGTGTTGTGTTGTGTTGTGTTGTGTTGTGTTGTGTTGTGTTATGTTACGTTTATATATGCACACCAACATAAAGCATCAAGCATTTGTTCGGGGTTTAATACAATATCCCAGGAAATTCTCTCAAGATGCTTCTCTCTGCTAAACTTAGAAAATTTCCTCTATTTAATTTATTACCAAAACACCTTCTTTTATACTACCCAAGCCAAACTTTTGCAATTTAAAAATGATCTGGCCCATTTCATCAGATGCTTCTCTACAAAGAACATGGGGTGAATGCATACTTACCATGCCATGTCTAAATACACTGCAGTACCATGAGATCACAGTTAATTTTTTACCTTTCTGGACGCTCATGCCTGTGGTGGCTAGAAGCGGATGCGGGGTGTACCCCTGTGTCACTCACCACCGTGTACTTTGAGACAGTCTCTTCCTGAGAGTAGAGCTCTCCAACCCAGCAGCTCTAGCTGGTGACAGACCACCAGGGATGCTGTCTCCGCATCCTAAGTGTTAAGGCTGCAGGCTCTGCGGACCTAACGCCAAGTCCTCAGGCTCACACAGCAAGAGCCTCACTGACTGAGACTTCTCCCTACCCTCGCTGTAGCCTTTCAGAGTAATAAATTAAAAAGCTTCATTTATATCTATAAATTAATTCACTTTGGATGAGCTTAGTTTTGAAATACAATTGAAGGTCAATTTTTAGCCTTATAAGAGGAAATTATTGCTCATCTCTCTCTCTCTCTCTCTCTCTCTCTCTCTCTCTCTCTCTCATATATCTCCAAAGATTGTTTTTATTTATTTGAGCTAACATCTCCAGTGGAATATTAGCCTTCTGATGGAAAGGGCATGGTGTTTCTCTGCATACTGCTCACATCCCATCTCATGAGACAGTGATTTAAGCCCCTCAGCACATCAATTATGATGAGACTATCCTAAGTTCTAAAACGCCCACAGAAAGTCAGGATTTTTCCATTCTTTGGACATTAGAAGATGTAGATGCCAAATTTTATAATGACAAATTAACCATCAATTTTTTCTTAAATATTGCTATGATGTTGAACTGAAAGCCAACTATATTAACAGGATCACAAAGCCTTCAGAAAAAAAAATCACACAGAATGAACAATAACATGAGAACATGATAATAACATGATGTCTTGATATTGGGTCGTATTTGGAAACGTAACATTAAGTATGCATTCATCCCTGTGTTCTCTGTGGTAAAGCATCAGTTGAAGTGGGCTATGCCTATAACACAGTTAAAATAAAGTGCTAGCCCTTCTCTGACAGACAGAAGGTGAACAAGTCCAGATTCTGAATCT